CTTCATAATTGCTTTCAGCCCTACTTACAGTTCTGTCCAAGTCAGTCTATTGTCTATCTGTTATTCTAGACTCATGAATTCCTTTCCTTTATAGATGTTGACTTGCTAAAACCATCAGAACTTTATTCACTATATAGATTAAATGTTCTTATTTTCCTGAAGGTTATTGGAAACAAGCTTAAAGCAAAACAAAACAATTCAAATACCAATTTGGAAATAATTGGTTATCTTCGCCAAATGTTCCTAGCTTAGAATAAGATGAAACAAGGAAGAAAACCTATTTCCTACAGTGACTAAGTTAAGAAAGTTATGCAACTGGCCAGATCAACCCACTTCTAGTAAGCAGTCCAATTAATTAGTTACAGTGAAAATAATTTCTACCTTATATTTTCAATTTACTGTCAAGGGACTGACAAAGGCTGGCCTCAAAACAGTGTTTTAAGTAATAGACTCAATTTTTTGATTTGCATTCTTTTAAACATTCAACAAAGCACATCCATGTCAATCATGTTTGTAGTGCTGTTTTATGGTTGCTATTTTTCCCAAAAAGCTCTTTATTTTAACAGCTACATGGTAGGGAGGTAAACGTGATTCTCTCCATAGATAGGAGGGTTGCAATTTGGGTAGTGAAAGGTTTTTTGACTTCATTTTTTACTGCTTAGAAAATTCACCATTACTTTTATATAAGCAGGTTGGATTTTTAAAAATTGAATATGGAAGAACACTGTATCAATCAGTAATCTCTTACTGGATGAACACCATATATGAAGTCTGGGGAAACCACCATCACATTAATCATCTGATACATAATAGGTTTGGAATGTTTTTATCATTCTGGAGCACACATTTTGGTTATCATGATATAGGCAGTGGTTCATGATAGGCAGTGAATCAGAAGCACATCCCATCTCTGGAGATTCTAAGCTGATAGAGAGTTCACTGCTAGGAGTTATGTGTGATGCAGAAAAGCTTCTGGAATTTGTATAATAATAACAGTTAAGGAAGTTTTAGCCACTTTTATAGCTTCCACACAGCCATCAATTAATCAACAGCACTTCTATGTAAGTGCTACTCTGTTAGGAGCTCACCAGGAGTTTATATTATCCCTTTCAAGGCTGGTGTATATTGTCACCAGAGGTTGGATTCACACATTAAGATAAATGATGGTTGTTTTAACCATGATTTACTGAGGCTGAGAATGGTTGGCTTCAAGCATAAACTATGATTTACAAACCATAACCAATTAGGTTCATAAATCTCATGCTAAAACAAAACTAAACAAATCATAATAGTTTTGTGCAATGCATAACTCAACCATTCTTTCTAAAATGACTGACACATTAAGGTACCCTGATCATGGAATTTATTTTCACTTGGCATAGCAGAATAGGTTTAAAAAAACAATTAAGTAATTTCTTTACTAGATAAACAATACAATGATCATGAGTAATCAAGGCTAGGAATAAAAGAAAGTGAACTAAACGCTTGTTGCAGTTATTAAAATGTAATTTTTTCTTGACTGGAAGAGGCATGTACTGACTGGTTTAAGCCTAGAAAAGTATTTTTGCCTTATTTTTATATACTTTAGTTAATTTTTTTATTGCAACCATACAGTTTAGCAACACCAAAAAGAAGTTATCAAGCACAAAAACATAGGCTGAAGCTAGCAGAATCCAGAGTTGGACAGATAGAACCCCAGCTACATATTAAAACTTAACTATCAGTAACAGGTAAAATACTATGTTATGGCATATTTGCGTAATGAAGCAATGCAAGCGTGTGAACTACAGAGAAAATGGACTCAGTGACATCCTTCAACAAAGGACATGTTATCTGAGAGAATGCATAGTATTAAGCCATACGTACTTAAGGACTCTGATGAATCAGAATCGTAATCCCGTGCAAAGAATTATGCAAAAGAAATGAAGAATTCATCAAGTACAGGAGAAATTGGGATCTGGAAAATGTTTGCTGAATTTGGTATGCAATTACCTAAGCCTCAGATGCTTTGCTTGCAGTATAATTTACATGATTTGTTGGATAAGTTTTTTTCATTCCTTGTTCTGCAGTTAATAACACAGGTTAGAAAACTAGTACGGCATTGTTAAAGTGTTGGATTAGGACTGCGGTAACCCACTTTCAGGTCCACCCTCAGCCATGGAAGTTCATTGGTCACTTTTGGCCAGACATTCTGTCAGCCCAACCTACCACATATGGTTGCTGGAGGAGGGGAAGGATGCTACCTTGATGAAAGAGAGGATATAAGTGAATAACAGCTTAGTAATAGCAAGTTCATGTTGTACCTCATCTGTGCAAATCCTCAAAAGTTATGAAATTAATCTAAGGTGATAAACCCACTTTGGAATGCCCACATTGATTTTATGAATTTGTTACTGTAATACATTTACAAAATGATATTTCTGTAGTTTAACAAGTGAAAATATCGCTGTTTATATCTAAATTTGTGAAACCAGCAGATGGATATACTAGAAAAAGTAAGAAAAGTATGAATTATGGGAATAATTTGACCACTCTTTTTGGATTGATAGTTTCTTTCTATAAGATTGTTCTGCTACATTACTTGGTTATTCTCAAAATGCTGTGTCCCTACACAGTAAAAGAGTGCAGTATTTCACACCCCACAGCAACCAAAATGGCTTTCTAAGGCAACCAACATTACTTTTCCCATACCATACAGTTTTCTCCAATATAAGTGATTATCTTGACTCCACTATCAAACATACCACCATTAGAATTCCATTGGATAAGGACACTTGTACATTGCCTGCTGGCCATCAAGTAATGAGTAAAACCACAGGATGTATACTACAATAGTCCCCTTTCTGGAATGGTGGAGTCATGGAAGACATCATATAAGATAGCAGATCTGTCTCAGATTAAAGAGAGAGCTCAAATAAGGGAGGTGTATACAACTTACAATTTGTACACAGAATTTGTATAAAACTCCATAATTTCCATATGTGTTGGTTTATTTAGAACATTTATTAACTGCATCAATCCTGAAGAACTTTAGGCAGGTACAAAATGTAACAAATGACAATGTAATAGAAATAATATAATAATAATAATAATACAAAAGCAGTAAAAACCAAATCATTCTGGCACAAATGACTGTATACAATAATCTCTGAAGGCCTTCCAAGGTTGATTGTATGCATCATAAAATGTCTAATATTCCTGCACATTTATGTTATTACATTGACACATGCTGAAAAGGAGGAAAGGTTCTGAACCTCTTTTCATCATCAAGCACTGAATCTCCATTTTCCCTCAGTTGTTCTGAAACTAATTAAATATATTTTAGTTCTACTTGTTTAAATTAAATTTTCATATTTTGTTACACTGGGGAAAAGGGAGAAAATGAGCTGTATTTTTCCATCAGTGAAACTTATCACACACACTCACCGGAGTCCCCTCTCATCCCCAACTCAGTGTAAATCCAGCCCAATTTTCCTGCTCATCTCATCTGTTGGGGTGTGCAAACTGTTGGCTGGGACTCTGTGGTATGGAATAGGTAATGTAATTTACAGGCAACCAGCTGAAACAACAGGCATGAACGCATGCTGCTTCTGAAACAGAGATGCAAAGCACAAATGTATCTGTTCCACAGTTTTCTGAGCAGCTGAATTTATTGCTGCTTGCAACACATTGGTGGGAGATTATAGCTGACATTGTGCAAATGCTGGGGCCATGTCCAATGTTAGACAAGCAATTGTATGTATATGTGGGGTTAGCCTCTATGGACCATTGTAGGAATTATTTCTATCCAGGCAAGTGTGTCTCCTGGATTTGTTTGTTTGTTTTTTGCCAGTGTCTTTATACTTTCTCCATTTTTCTTTCTCACTGGAGAACATCAATGAGGATAGGAAAGACTTGATAATAATTGACAATATTTTGCTCAGATAACATGAACAGCCCTTTGACTGGAAAACTTACCTTGAACAAAAGGGACAGAATCCAGGATGCTTCCAAGTGGACCACTCCTAGCACTAACAGTCAAAATAAACTGTATACCTATTTGGTCTTTCCATCCTTAATGGGTTTTCAGACCATTTCTTCAAGCAGCCTGACCCTACAGTTGGACAGAGTGAGGTAACTGCCCCAGACTGCTAATTCAAATCCCAAACAAGAACAAACAATTAATAATATCTCTTTTGCAGCACCTGGCTGACTTTGGGCTGGAAAGCTAAGCAGGATAAGTCCTGTTCGGTACGGTACTTGGATAGGAGCTCTCTAGGAAATAGCAGGTCTGTAGGCTAACTTGGGAAGGTGGGAAAACAGCCAGCGGAGAGGCAGTGACAAACCATTTCTGTTCTGGTGTCAAGGAAACAACCTGGATGTATCCAGAGCGCCAAAAGGGCTGCGTTCAACTCAAGAGTGTTTATTATTTCATTTTTACAGTAGCAAAGGGCAGAAAGACACTGATGCTTTCTGGTTGAGTGAGTTTGGTCTTCCACCTCTTGAATTGGGAGATAAAGTATCTTGGAGTGGCTTGGCCTTCAAGAGAGTCCTGATCATGTCATACTCCTGACCCCAAGGAGATGGGCAGATGCACATCTGAGCTGTACAATTCTGGACGACAATTCGGACTGGGAGAATTTGCTACGTGAAC